TCTCTCTCTCTCTCTCTCTCTCTCTCTCTCTATATATATATATATATATATATATATATATATATATATATCTGTTTTTCGTTTTTCTTTTTTTAGAGCTGACAGTAGATTTCGTTAACTTAAAGTTTCCTGTGTATCAAGTCAGGTGTACAGATCACAAATTAAACAAAAGTTGCTGAAAAAAAAAGAGCCAAAACCACGATGCACTCAAGTTTGCAAAAATGAGTTTGGCTGGACTTTGTACCTGTGCATCCTAACCTTTTTGCTCCACCTTCTTTGTTCCTTCACTCTTTCCTTCTCTCTGTAAATTGTTACCCCCCTTTCTATGATGTTCATATTGTCCTTTCATTTAAAGTAATCTCCAGAGCATCCCTTTAGGTCCTTGCCTTAGCCAACTCATCACATTACTTGTGTTGAATAGGTCTATGTATGGTTGTAACCTTATTTGTAAAAATAAAGTTGCAGTAATCTACATCATTCATTTTATTTGGCTGGTGTAGATTTGATACTATCTAACAAAATATGCTACTTTTTGGCACTGGTTTAGAAGACGTGTCACCGTCCAACTAAAATGGACAGTGTAAAATATCGCGACCGTACTTCTAAAATTAAGCTTGAAACCTTTTATAAATTGCACATAATCAAACAAAAATCTCTCTTCCTCCTACTTCACTTCTTATGTTGTCTAAAATCTGCATCCAAACCCAAGGAACCTTATGTATATTCTTGCACCAATTGTTTATATTGGTCTATTCACCTTCAATGATTACCCTTCTTCATGAAGGGGGAATACTTAAAACCCCTTGCCCAAGAACTTTTAATTCTGCTTCACTGGATGAGGTTGCTTAATGGGCCCGAGAAGGTTAATAGAGTGTTCCCCCTTTCATCTTGAACCGGACCCTATGCACTAGTCAACCTATCAAAATTAAGCTTGATCTAACCCTGCGGAGGCAGTAGTCGAGTATTTCGTTTGTGAAACTTCTTGACCCTCATTTGTGCCCTTGAATTCCTCTCTCATCATTGCTCAAGTAGCAATGGTTGTTTGTATCTTCCATTTGACATAGTCCCAATTAGAATCCTCGAACTGCTCTGATGGTTCTTTCTTTCGAAATGTGCCAAAAGGTAGTTGTGATTGCATTCTCTGTACTTATAAGCCTATTTTAGGGAATGGTGGGGAAAACCAAACCTTCTCTCTCTATCTCTCCATTATTTTTAAGATGTGTGCGAGTATGCATGCATTTGTGCATGTCTGCAAGCACATCTCATAATACACCGCTCATCATTTTCTTATGTTGAGCTAGATACAATTATTTATTTATTTATTCTTTTATTTTTTTTCTCCAATGCATCTACAATATAACTTATGTTTGTTGATTAGAAATGAATGTTTGCATGTGTTATATATCTGAAATTTTGCAAAGGAATGCGACGATGGGAGTGTTACATAGACACGAGCATGAGTGTCAGTGTCTCGTACATATTCGGAGTGTCCAATATTTCATCAAAAAGGCCAACACGGCAAGCATGTCCACAAAAATATTTATGATTAAGAAATAGCTTTATATTTTAAAAGTTCAGAAAGTTATTTACATGAAGTTATTGTTTTCGTATCAATAAAGTAGACCATCATCACTTTGTATAGGAGACTGGAGATGGAACGCCAAGTATCGCATTTTACGTCTTCTATTTTATATTAAATAACACTTGTTATGTATATAACTACCCAAAAAAACACTTATGTATATTAATAACTTTTCACACATCGTGTAGACCTAAACTTGGGGTTTGCAGTTATTCTTTATAGCCTGAATTTCATACTACAAAATATTAAAGAATTAAGCCATGTATGAATTTAAATTAAAAAAGGGTGCGGTTTTTATAAATTTGCAACCTTATTTGGAGAAATAAGGCTGCAGTACTCTTGATCGTCCATTTTATTTGGATGGTGTATATGTGATACATCTTTAAGACAATGTTAATACATGACACATCTTTTAAGACAATGTTAATACAGGACACATCTTTTAAGACAATGTTAATACATGACACATCTTTTAAGACAATGTTAATACATGACACATCTTTTAAGATAGTGTCCAATCTACACTGTCCAAATAAAATGTACAATCTAAATTAATGAAATATTATTTTTACAAATAAAGTTACAAATGAGGTTGTAACTTTATATAAACTTTTTCGTTAAAGAATTTAGCCATATAAAAAGTATTTCCCATGACAGAAATCAAACTCGAAAGATTTAACATATCAATGCCCACTCTACCACATGGACCATGGTGCATTTATCGTAAGACTATGCAAGAAACTTTTATATATGGTGCCTATATATACTAAAAAAAGGGGTTGTCTTTAAGGAGGTTACAATCATTCTTGTCCCTTAGATTTCAAAATAGGTGGTTGTAAGAGTGTCATTGATTAGATATAGTTACAAAAATAAAATTCTCGGACTATGTGACTCATTTCAAGCCATCCAATTTGACATCTTAATGAGTAAAAATGGTTGTGACCTTTTGTACAAAAGATAAATGGTCTCTTCATAGACAATTTCAAAAAAAAAAAAAAAAAAACACAAAATCAACGGACATGTACGATAAATGTATGGGCTCTTTCTCCACAGTCTACGTGACTCTGTCTGAGCATCGACTTAACTCGACATCGACACACAACACTATAGATATATTGGAGAACTTGGTTAACATTATGCGATGTATTATTCATTTGGTGGTTTTTTTATGCAGATTCCTGGCCCAAAACCATTATTTTTGACGGCACCCTCTGAATTCAAAGACTGTACACCCATGAATGTTACATTATTTTTGGCATTTGGTCTTGTATTCGTCTTATTTCTTTTTGTCTTTTTTAACGTGTATTCCTCTTTTTTTCTTTTCCTCTTTTTTCCTTGTTTGCCTTTCACAGCTACTGAATGAAAAATAATAGTTAATAACATCTCTATCTGTTATAACCGTCGTTTTCGTTTGTGTTTTTTTTTTTTGTTCGTGAGGAAACCATATTTATTAGTGCCCTTGGTATTCAAATAAGCGTAATATAGACTTTGGTGAGAAATGAGGTCTCTTATAAATACCTAACTTGGCAAGTGTCCAGGGCTGCTTGCCCCTAACCCGGCTTGTTACCCAAAAGGCTCGGCCAAACCAGGCCAATGGGCCTGGGTATGGGCTGGGCCCTACTATTGGGAAAGCTAGCCCGGCCCAGCGCTCGACACCCCACCTAGAATTCAGGCTTGGACCTGTTTGGGGTCGGGCTGTGGTGGGCGGCCATTGGATGTGGCAATGTGCTGAACACGCCGTGGCCTAGGCGTGTTGTGCACACTTCTGTTCTTGCCATGCCATATATCCGCACCATCATTAGCATGCCGAAATTTGAATTCAAGCATGGCCTCTTTCCCAGCCAAAGCGCACCACGTAGCCCATCGTCCAGTCCACTGCCTTGCTGTGTACTGAGCTGGCTGTGGGGCCTAAGCCCCTGTTCACTGTCGTGCACCACCTTTGCGTTATGCACCACCTCAGTGCCTTGTACTTTGTGGCCCTCTGGTCAAAGGCTTGCATACCCCTCTCATATCGGAGCATAGATGCAAAGAACTAGATGTCCAAGAATGGTACCTCTTCCGGCCAAAGTGGCACACGTGCACCAAGAGCATGCACACGGTGCAGCCTCATCCTTAGGCCGGTTGGATCAAAGGGGTTCTGCGGCTCTCCCCCTTGACCAGGACGCATGCACCAAGTTGGGAGTCTGACAGCACACCATATTAGCACATTTTGATTGCAAGATTCATTACAAAACCAAAATTTGGATTGGTTATGTTTACCTAACCTATTGTTGCTGAGTTTGTGAGTGACGGAAAAGCTTGGAACATTAGGGTATTTTATCCATGGGATTGATTCGTTTATGTTTGATATACAAGCGTCACAATCATCCCAAACCATTGGATGTGAAATTAGGTGGCTAAAGATGTATTTGGGAAAAAAATTCTACTATGCCCAAACCACCTAACTTTTATTTGGGTGTGGTTTGTATAAGGTTGAGGCTCTAAACAATCAAAATAAGGTGCATCTTCAAGTAATACTGAAAGATGTTTTTTTAGTATTGAAAATCTTTATGTTGGCTTTAAAATTTATTTTCATCTTTAATTATAAAATATCTAAAGCTTAAGAAATAGTGTAAATGGAGCATATCTATGAACACTTGAAAATCTTGAAAATTGATGGTTCAAAAAATACATTACAATATGCACTATTTTCAAGACTTTAAATCCATGTTTTTTCATGTCCATACATCTTTAGGTTGGTTGGGATGATCTATTTGAAGATTTTTGGGCTTTGAAACAACCTCTTTTAGTCAATTTTTGAGGTGCGCTTTAATTTGATTGTTTAGGGCCAAACCCTTATGTAAACTTTTTCCTTTTCTAGGTTAGGATGAGGTTTGTATATAACCGATACTCTAAACAATCAAATTAGAGCCTACCTTCAAATAGTGTCGAGAAATGTGGTTTTAATATTGGAAAGTTTTGACTGGCCTTAAAATATATTTGCATCCTTAATTATAAAATTTAAAGTTCCAAAAATAGTGTAGATCGAACAAATCTATGAAAACTTGAATAACTTAGAAATTGACGGTCCAAAAATGCGTTACAAGATGCACTATTTTCAAAACTTGAAATCCATTTTTTTTTCAAGTTTATGCATCTTGATGTCGTGATGATCAATTTGAGGATATTTAGACATCAAAACAACCTCTTCTAGTGAAATTTTTTAGGTAGGCTCTAATTTAATTATTTAGAGCCTAGGCACTATATAAAATTTTCCCCCTAGGTTATCATGACAAAGGTAAATAGTATTATTGTCTATTTTTAAAATATTTTTGTTAGTAGTCTTGATTTGTGGTGGTTGAATTGGAATCCATAATTTTTGTACATCTTGGATTACTTGGAATTTATGTGGAATGGAACCAGTGTTACACATACACCTCATTTCCTCAATTTTTCTATTGTGTCATGACATCACCTTGACACTGAAAAAGTGTTGATTTCAAAGACAAACTATATTCCTTTTTACATAAAAAAAAGGTCAAATCTATTGTGCCCCAAACTTGTATACTTCAGTTTTTTTGGTAGGCAAATGGTTGAATTGGAAAGCAGTCTCCTTGCATGTTTTGGATTTTGAGTGGAATTGAATTGATAATTACTTGGACTTTAGGTTGGCTCAGAACTTCTATTAAACATGCCCCCACTTTTTCGGCGCAAGAAAAATGTAAGCTTTATCCCTTTAATACCATTTTTCCCATGCTCATGTTAATTGAGATATGATATGAGAAGTGTTTATTGAAAAAATGTGCACAACTTTTGGTGCCCTGGTTAAACTTGAACCCCGGGCTTCTTGAGTTAAGTGCCCTAGAGAAACATTTTCTCTTTAAGAAAATTTTGCAGGGACTCCTAATTTCCACTCCCATTTCCATTTCCATTTCGTGATGGCTCTTCTAAATTTGTTATCCTTCAGGCAACATTAGATGATCCCTTCTTGTCTATCTTCTCTCACTTTTTTCCCTTAAAATTGGCATTAATAGTGTTACTTATACAACTTAGGGCTTGTTTATCTTCTTTATACCTCACGAAATTCATTTCATCCCTACCCTGAGGCGAGAGAGAGCAGATCCACAAGAGAAAATGGTGATGGTGCAGTGCCCACGATGAGAGGGAGATGAAGGAGCGAAAAAATCCCTAGGACAGTGGTGAAATGAGTTCGACGCGACGTATAAAGAGGGAAGAGAAGAGTAAGTCCTTATTGGTCATAGGTAATATTCTTAAACTCAGTTTTCGGGTAAAAAGGTCAGAAAATAGGCGAGGGAGAAAAAAAAAAAAACCAAAACTTTATCTTGCATTTCATCTTCTAAAGCCGCACTAAAAAATTTTGTATATGATTTCAATATTAATCAATGTTATTTTATGTAATGAATAAGAAACTTTATCTGGCATTTGATCTTCTAAAGCCATATTAAAAAATTTTGTATATAATTTCAATATTAATCATTTTTATTTTATTTTATTTTTTATTTTATGGAATGAATTTTACTTGCTAAAATAGCAATGTCTTAATCATGATCTATTAGTTGAAAACTTACATTATGGATAGAAAAAATTTCCTTTTTATGGAAAAAAATTGCAAGACTTTCGTAAGTAAAATGGAAATAAAATAACTATAAAAACTATTTAACCATTAGATCTATTGACTACCAACCCTCCAAGCATATGCTTCCTTGTATTAAATGAAAAAAAGATAATCATCTATCTTATGCATTTCAAACCGCATTGATCTCAAGTTCAGGAAATCTTTGTTCATTCTTGCACTATTTAATAACATCTAGAGAGTCACCTTTAGCGATACTATAATTCCAACTTCCGAGTTGTTTCGCCTCGGTAAACCCCAAGACTTACAATATGGCACTATTTTCTACCACATTATAATAATTGATCCACAAGATCTTGGATGAGTAATCAACATTCTACTATTATAGTCTCTTTTCTCTCTTCCAATACCAACAAAATCGGGGTAGCCACTAAAGTGATCATAGAAATAAGTTTGATAGTCTCCTGTGGTGATCTGCTACAGACCTCTAATCCTTTTTTTCTTGATCCATCTTCGTAACTTCTTCAAGACTGCGTAGGACATTAGATATTAAAATACCATAGTTCTCATTTATAATCATCACCTAGTTCATAATCGATTACAAAATCTTGGACTTGAGCCTTTTCACCATTAATACATCTCCTTCAAAGACTCTTATTTTTCTCTTTCCATCTCTCCTAATGTATGGCTGATCTAAAGGCTTTCCAAATTAACTTATCAATCATAGGAAGTAGAGGAAGATTTAAGTTATTGGTTATATCAATGGTATCTATATGGAGGCCTAATCGGATGCTCACCTTTCCAAAAGGTCACATCCATACATTTTGAGCATAAGGACATCATAAGGAGAGTAGACCCCTTGTTTCTTCATTCTGCTTATACACTATGCACACAATAATTATGATATACCCCTTTTCTGTTGCAATTCAACAATTGCAGTCTTACCAAGAGTCAAAATTTACAGGAATGCTTGTACTTTGTGTGGTATACGACTATTTTCAATTCTTAGATACATTTGGTTTTATCTCCTTATTTCTTTCATGAAACAAATACTGATCCACTTTCCACACTACTTCATACTCCCTCTCTAGGCTATAATATGTTAACTCGTAAAGGGGCACAAAAAGTTCACCGTATTTCATTAAGAAAATAGAGGGGTATAAATACACAAAGGTTGTTATATGTGACAGATTGCATATATCTATACGAAAGGAAATAAATCCACAAAACAAGGAAAATATCCCAACATATGAGATTTATACATATCACACAATATATTTTCAATACCCCCCTCAAACTCAAGGTGCTTTAAAAGAGAGCAACTGGACTTTGGATAATAAATAGTGAAAGCGCATGATAGGATGTGTCTTTGTGAGAAGATTGGCCAATTGATTTTCTGGACGAACAAAAGGAAGTGTAATAGTTTCTTG